TTGGTCTCCCAAAGTGCTGGGATTACAGGCATGAGCCACTGCATCTGTCTGAATCTGTAGACTTTAACAGTATTAAGTCTTCTGATCTGTGAACATGGGATAGCTTTCCATTTACATAGGTCTTTAATTTCTTTCAACTTCATTTTGTAGATTTTGGTGTACAAAAGTTAAAATAATGCAAACTTCTTATTGTTTTTTCCAAGACACACTCTTGCTCTCTCACCTAGGCTGGAGTACAGTGGTGCAATCTCTGCTCATTGCAACCTCTGCCTCCTGGGTTCAAGCGAGTCTCCAGCCTCAGCCTCTGGAGTAGCTGGGATTACAGGCACCTGCCACCATGCCTGGCTAGCTAATTTTTGTATTGTTTTTGTTTTTGGTTTGAGATGGAGTTTTGCTCTTGTTGCCCAGGCTGGAGTGCAATGGTAAAATCTCGGCTCACCATAACCTCTGCCTCCTGGGTTAACTGATTCTCCTGCCTCATCCTTTCTGAGTAGCTGGGATTATAGGCATGCACCACCACACCGGCTAATTTTCCAGCTAATTTTGTATTTTTAGTAGAGACGGGGTTCCTCCATGTTGGTCAGGGTGGTCTGGAACTCTCGACTTCAGGTGATCTGCCTGCCTTGGCCTCCCAAAGTGCTGGGTTCACACATGTGAGCCACCTTGTTCAGCTGGCTAATTTTATTTTTATATTTTATAGAGATGGGATCTCCTTATGTTGACCAGCTGGTCTTGAACTTCTGGGCTCAAGTGATCCTCCTTCCTCAGCCTTCCAAAGTGCTGGGATTACAGGTGTGAGCCACCACGCCTGGTGATTTAATGCTATTATCTAATGTTAAATCTATACTAAAATTTCCCCACTTGTCCCAATAGCATCTTATAGCTGATTAGTTTTATTGTTGTTATTTCTTCATTTCTAACACAGGATTGAATATTATATGGCAAATAGTTGTCACATTTATCTAGTCTTCTTTAAGAAGAAAACAAAACTGAATCAGAGCCTAAGAGTGTACCATCCTGCTAAGAAGTTTTATTCTCAGCAGGGTGTGGTGGCTCACGCTTGTAATCCAAGCACTTTGGAGGCCAAGGCAGGCGGATCATCTGAGGTCGGGAGTTCAATACCAGCCTGACCAACATGGTGAAACCTCGTCTTAAAAAAAAAAAAAGAAGAAGTTTTATTCTCATGAAGGTAAATTCTAGGAAATTTGATTTGGTTTTATTGATTTAATAAAGTTATCAACTATCAAGGAATCCACCTTAAGTCACTCTTCTATGCTTAGTATATCACTTTATTGATAACGAAATATATTCTGATGTAAAATAAAAAATAACCACTTTGCCTTGTATATTTGTGCTTCTCAACAGAAATCTTATAGTAGACTTTTTACACTTCAGGCAAACTGCTTCTATCAATCTGTCAACACAATAAAAATAGTTTTCATATGATTGTGTCTTTGGAAGTCTGTGCAAAATGTGATTTCACTTAGTGATTGTGGTGTGACAGCTGTAAATTACCATTGCATTTTCAGTGTGACTGAGATGCTGACTTCTTCTGGCTTTGACTGCCCTTTCCACAAAAAAGCTGGATCTCAGACAAATCCCCCAAAGAAGAGCGGATCAATACTCTCACAAAGAGGTATTGACAGATCACTGTCTCTCTTTTTTTTTTCTTTTCTTTTTTTACAGTGAGCTGAGTTTTTCATGCAGGCAGACAGATCACTGTCTCTTAGAGGTTCTAACTGGGCAGTGTCCCATCCAGACATGCTGGCCATGCATATGAGTGTCTGTCTGCTGGCCTGCAGGAGAGTCTTGTGATCCTGCTTGTCTGGTCAGTAGTCAAACGCTAAGATCCCCTTGGGGTAGGAGTTCTGCCCTGAAGCCACATGCTTTGGTAGGAAGGCACTAGGCCAGTTTAATAGGGCAAAGAGCCTTATTCAAGGAAGTCAGAAGTAGTGAAGCAGGCTGCAGTATCAAATTCCTCTTCGCAGTATATTATTGGGTAATTGTATGTCTTCAATAAATAAACGGTAGAGTGTTCCGGCAAGCTTCTGGGTACTTGAGGTGCATAAATGAATGCCTAACTCAAGGAGCTCATCCTAAGTTGTTTGGGGAAATAGCCTACAGCTGCCAACTCTTCTTGCTAACTATGCCATCCCAACTTCAAAACTGCTAACAGGCCGGGCGCGGTGGCTCACGCCTATAATCCCAGCACTTTGGGAGGCCGAGGCGGGTGGATCACGAGGTCAAGAGATCGAGACCATCCTGGTCAACATGGTGAAACCCCGTCTCTACTAAAACTACAAAAAATTAGCTGGGCATGGTGGCGCGTGCCTGTAATCCCAGTTGCTCAGGAGGCTGAGGCAGGAGAATTGCCTGAACCCAGGAGGCGGAGGTTGCGGTGAGCCGAGATTGCACCATTGCACTCCAGCCTGGGTAACAAGAGCGAAACTCTGTCTCAAAAAAACAAAACAAACCAAAAAAAACTGCTAACAAATCATTCAGTGGATTTTCAAATATTATTCCTTAAGTACTTCGATGTATGCTAGGCACTGTGTTCTGCTTACAATATATAGAAGTAAAGACCGATTGTTCTAAGATTAATATTGCAATTAATATTGCACACAGAAATCTTATAACGGCTATCTTAGGGAAGTGGAATTAGAGATAAGGATAGGGACTCTGGAAAGTAAAAAGCTAGATTAAAAAAAAAAAAAAAGTAGGCCGGGCGCGGTGGCTCACGCCTGTAATCCCAGCACTTTGGGAGGCCGAGGTGGGTGGATCACGAGGTCAAGAGATCGAGACCATCCTGGTCAACATGGTGAAACCCCGTCTCTACTAAAAATACAAAAAATTAGCTGGGCATGGTGGCGCGTGCCTGTAATCCCAGCTACTCAGGAGGCTGAGGCAGGAGAATTGCCTGAACCCAGGAGGCGGAGGTTGCGGTGAGCCGAGATCGCGCCATTGCACTCCAGCCTGGGTAATGAGAGCGAAACTCTGTCCCCCCCAAAAAAAAAAAAAAAAATTAAAAAAAAAAAAAGGATAGGGACTCTTAATTTTTTTTTATTTATTTATTTTTTTGAAATGGAGTCTTGCTACATCGCCTGCCCAGGCTGGAGCACAGTGGCATGATCTTGGCTCACTGCAACCTCTGCTTCCTGAGGTCAAGTGATTCTCCTGCCTCAGCCTCCTGAGTAGCTGGAATTACAGGTCCATGCCACCATGCCCAGCTAATTTTTTAGGAAAGATGGGATTTCACCATGTTGGCCAGGCCAGTCTCGAACTTCTGACCTCGTGATCCACCTGCATCGGCTTCCCAAAGTGCTGGGATTACAGGTATTAGCCATCTCACCCAACCAATTTTTTTACTTTTTTTTTTTTTTTTTTTCAGACAAAGTCTGGATTTTGTCCCCCAGGCTGGAGTGCAATGGCATGATTTCAGCTCACTGCCACCTCTGCCTCCCAGGTTCGGGCAATTCTCCTGCCTCAGCTTCCCGAGTAGCTGGGATTACAGGCATGCACTACCATGCCTGGCTAATTTTTGTATTTTTAGTAGAGATGGGTTTTCACCATTTTGGGCAGGCTGGTTTCGAACTCCTGACCTCATGATCTGCCCGCCTCAGCCTCCCAAAGTGCTGGGATTACAGGCGTGAGCCACTGCACCCAGCCCTGATTTGTTTTAAAACACCTTTCTAAAGGTCGGGCGTGAGGGCTCATGCCTGTAATCCCAGCACTTTGGGAGGCAGAGGCTGGCAGATCATGAGGTCAGGAGATTGAGACCATCCTGGCTAACATGGTGAAACCCTGTGTCTACACTAAAAATACAAAAAAGTAGCCAGGTGTGGTAGCCTGTGCCTGTAGTCCCAGCTACTTGGGAGGCTGAGGCAGAAGAATCGCTTCAACCTGGGAGCTGGAGGTTACAGTGAGCCGGGATTATGCCACTGCACTACAGCCTGGGCGGACAGACCAATACTCTGTCTCAAAAAAAAAAAAGGAGGGGGAGAGAGTGTGTGTGGTGGTTTATGCCCATAATCCCAGCACTTTGGGAGGCCAAGGCAAGTGGATCACCTGAGGTCAGGAGTTCGAGACCAGCCTGACCAACATAGAGAAACCCAGTCTCTACTAAAAATACAAAATTAGCTGGGCATGGTGGTGCATGCCTGTAATCCCAGCTAGTGGGGAGGCTGAGACAAGAGAATCGCTTGAACTTCGGGGGCAGAGGTTGCCATGAGCCCAGATTGTGCCACTGCACTCCAGCCTGGGCAACAGAGTGAGACTCCATCTCAAAAAAAAGAAAAAATGGGGCTGGGCTCAGTAGCTCACACCTGTAATCCCAGCACTTTGGGAGGCTCAGGCAGGAGAACCTGCTTGAACCCAGGAGGGCAGAGGTTGCAGTGAGCCAAGATCGTGCCACTGCATTCCAGCCTGGGCAACAGAGTGAGACTCAGTCTAAAAAAAAAAAAAGAAAGAGAGTCATAGACATGAGCCACTGAGCCTTACCGTGAGAGTCATCAACTCCTACCCAAAGTAGAGTGGATACCCTGAGGGAAATACTACTAGCCTTTAAGCAGTGGGGAAAAGAAGAGTTTCCTTCAAGTGTTTAGAGAACTATCATGGAAACCATGAAGGATGTAACAGTTAATGGATTAAGCAATGAAGAGGAGAAATATGTAGACACTAACTGAATGCAACAAAAATAAGCTCACTGGGCTGGGTGTGATGGCTCACACCTGTAATTTCAGCACTTTGGGAGGCTGAGGTGAGAGGATCACCTGAGGTCAGGAGTTCGAGACCAGCCTGACCAACATGGTAAAACCCTGTCTCTACTAAAAACACAAAAATTAGCGGGACGTGGTGGCACATGCCTGTAATCCCAGCTACCCAGGAGGCTGAGATGGGAGAATTGCTTGAACCCAGGAGGCAGAGATTGCAGTGAGCTGAGATTGAGCCACTGTACTCCTGCCTGGGCAACAGAGAGAGACTCTGTCCCCACTACCCTCTCCCTCACACACACACAAAAAGATAAGCTCACTGATTACCATAAAAATATCAGTTTTAGCTGAGAAAAGGTGGCAGGAGTCAGGAAGTAAGAATAGAAAGTGTCTAAGAGGCCAGGTATGGTATTGGCTCATTCCTGTAATCCCAGCTACTTGGGAGGCTGAGGTGGAAAAATGGCTGAGTCCAGGAGTTCAAGACCATCACAACAAAATTCAACGTCTTTTCCTTTAATTAAACTCCTCTTCCTATAATTTCTTACCACCTATATTCCCAGTGAGATAGGATAATACAGGGTGGTCACAGGAGAATAGAAAACGTCAGGCAGTAGTTTCACATAACTAGCAAAAAGGAAACGTGAAATATCTGCATTTAAAAAAAAGTGACATTTTGGGCTGGATGATTCTTCAAAAAATTTTAAACAAAAATTAAAAATAAATAAATAAAAAGAAAAGAAAAATCTGCATAAACTAGGGGCTAAGACCCTGAAAAATCAGGGTGTGGGCTAAGCTTGCCAAAACTGACTGTATCCAACATAGCGCTGGATTTGACCTAGATTTCACCTAGGATCTCATTATAGGCTCAATAACATAGGCCAGGTGTGTTGCTCATGCCTGTAATCCCAGCACTTTTTTTTTTTTTTGCATTGTTTTAATTATTTTTATTTACAGATAACAGTGTTCATTTAACCCAGTTTCATGGCAAGTTCTTTAGCCTTTGCCTTTTCTAGCTTGGCGGTGCGAGCCACAGACTTGGGACCCAGCACATTGCCTCCCCAGTGATGCCGGATCTCATCGTATCTGTCATTGTAATTGGTGCGGATAGCTTCCACCAGCTTAGCCAAAGCACCTTTGTCTTCCGGATTAATGTGTGTGAAGGGGACAGTGGTGCAGGTCTTCCTGTGGACTAGATGTCCCAGTCTTGCCTTCCCCTTGATGATGCAGTAAGGGACTCCCATTTTACGACAGAGGGCAGTCAAGAGGACAACGAGCTCAATGGGATCCACATCATGAGCAATCACCACCAGCTGCGCTTTCTTGTTCTCCACCAAGGTGGTGATGGTGTTGACTCCTGCTCAAAGGACAGGTAGTCTCTTCGTGGGGACATCCCCTTTGCCAGCCGCTTTCTTCTCGGCACGGGCCAACAGCCTCTGCTGCTTCTCTTGCTTTGTTTCTGGTCTGTACTTTTGGGCCAGCTTAAGCAGCTGAGTAGCTGTTTGGCGGTCCAGGGCTTGGGTGAACTGGTTAATTGCAGGAGGCACTTTCAGCCGCTTATGGAGGATGGCTCTCTGCTGCTGCAACCTGATATAGTGGGGCCATTTCACAAAGCAGGTGAGGTCTCTTTTGGGCTGGATGTCTTGTCCATCTTGGGCGGCGGGAAGAGAGAGCAATCCCAGCACTTTGAGAGGCCTAATTGGGTGGATCACTTGAGGTCAGGCATTTGAGACCAGCCTGGCCAACATGATGCAATCTCATCTCTACTAAAAATACAAAAATTAGCCATTTGTGGTGGCATGTGCCTGTTGTCCCAGCTACTTGGGAGGCTGAGGCAGGAGAATCACTTGAGCCTGTGAGACAGAGGGTACAGTGAGCAGAGATCACACCACTCCACACCAGCCTGGGCAACTGAGCAAGACTCAAAAAAACAAAACACAAACAAAAACAATAAAACATAATCACACGCCCATCAACTCTCTGACAGTTCCAGGAACACACATATTTGGTGTAAAAATAGGTGGCATCACATTTCTGAAAAATCCAGGAATTTTTCCAGGAATCTTTATGACTATTCTACCCTTTGGTAAAAGAAACACAGAAAGGTAGAAATCTCAAACTCTACTGGGCGACTACTCCTTGAGTACACCTGCACTCCCCTTTCTTCAGTGTGTACTTTTCACCTTGCAATAAATCCTTGTACTTTCACTGTTCTCTGACTCATCCTTGAATTCCTTCCTGCAATGATGTCTAGAGCCTACACACTGCCTGCGGTTGTGGTCCCACTGTTATCACATTCAGCCTCCTAAACCAGAAACTCTCCAAACACCTAGTGCCTTTCCTCTCACTAACACCTTTGTCTGAGGACATTAAGTGATACTGTCCTCTAGATTCTACTTTTTAACATTTTTAATATCCCAGGAGGAAAAATTCCAATATTATAATTATCTATGGATGGTGGTATTGTTACAGTAGGTAGCTAATCAGACATGAGCAGGGCAGGAGAGGGTCTTTCCACTTTAGCAGGAGTGTCAGGCAACCATCAGGTGATGGTTAGGTAGCTGTTAAGCTGCCTTTCTCAAAAAATAATTGGTTGCAGCCGGCACCAGGGAAAGGCAGTCTCCAAATAGATAGAAAAAAACCTGAAGCTGATTGATGATCAGCAGCTTCTCAGTAAGCTCTCTGGCTCAAGCATTCGCACTAAGAGGCAAAATGGCTGAATTTAACTGGTGTATAACCTTCCTCTAGGAACACTGGCCTGGTAAGGGAAAAACTGCCTCATGTGAGCATGTGTGCAACTTCAGTAAACACTTTGTGCATGCAGCTTCTCCCAAGTGCTGGTAGACCACAGCACATGTGGACAGCTCATCCCGAGGGAAGAATCAGGGGAGAAATAACCCCGGGCCAATATATAAGACCCCAAGTCAAAGGTCAAACTGTTCACTTGATCTCTCAAGTCACCTGTTGGTCCTCTTCCAAGTGTACTTTCTTTTCATTTCTGCTCTAAAGCTTTTTTTTTTTTTTTTTTTTTTTTTTTTTGCGGCGGAGTTTCGCTCTTGTTACCCAGGCTGGAGTGCAATGGCACGATCTCGGCTCACCGCAACCTCCACCTCCCGGGTTCAGGCAATTCTCCTGCCCCAGCCTCCTGAGTCGCTGGGATTACAGGCATGCGCCACCATGCCCAGCTAATTTTTTGTAGTTTTAGTAGAGACGGGGTTTCACCATGTTGACCAGGATGGTCTCGATCTCTTGACCTCGTGATCCACCCGCCTCGGCCTCCCACAGTGCTGGGATTACAGGCTTGAGCCACCGCGCCCGGCTCAAGTTAATATTTGTAAGAACATATGTTTTTGAAAAGAATAACCAAAATCAATTATTTATTGCTACTTATTGACAAACTTACATCAGCACGGAGAATTTTTAATTTTGTTAAATGTCATATCCATAGAATCTAAAGAGAATTTTTGTTTCTGTCTCCATTTTACAGGTGAAATCCAGATATTTAATTTCAGCTTTGACTAAAGTAATTTTTTTCCATTTGTTTTGATTTCTTTTTTTTTTTTTTTTTTTTTTGAGACGGAGTTTCACTCATGTTACCCAGGTTGGAGTGCAATGGCGCGATCTCGGCTCACCGCAACCTCCACCTCCTGGGTTCAGGCAATTCTCCTGCCTCAGCCTCCTGAGTAGCTGGGACTACAGACACGCGCCACCATGCCCAGCTAATTTTTTGTAGTTTTAGTAGAGACGGGGTTTCACCATGTTGACCAGGACGGTCTCGATCTCTTGACCTCGTGATCCACCCGCCTCGGCCTCCCAAAGTGCTGGGATTACAGGCTTGAGCCACCGCGCCCGGCCTTGTTTTGATTTCTAATGAGATGCAATCATTCTGTATGTACTTTTGTATATACTGCTCTTTTTACTCACACCTTGAGTATCTTTCCATGTTATATCTCCTACTACTTTAAACTATCCGTCAAAGATAAATGACAATCTACTCAACCTTATTTTTGAACATTTAGATTGTTTCCAGATGTTTATTTTACACCTCATAGACATTATTTCCTAAACTTGAAATTGCTATAATGGAGCACTTTTTTTTTTTTCTTTTTGAAACAGGAGTCTTTCTGTCACCCAGGCTGGACTGCAGTGGCACAATTGTCGGCTCACTGCAACCTCTGCCTCCTGGGTTCAAGTGATTCTTTCTTCTGCCTCAGCTTTCTGAGTAGCTGGGATTACAAGTGTGTGCCACCATGCCCAGAAAATTTTTGTATTTTTAGTAGAGATAGGGTTTTACCATGTTGGCCAGGCTGGTCTCAAACTCCTGACCTCAAGTGATCTGCCAGCCTTGGGCTCCCAAAGTGTTGGGATTACATGCATGGGCCATGGTGCCGAGTCTTTTTTAAGGTTTTCGATAGGCTGGCTGCTGTGGCTCACGCCTGTAATCCCACCACTTTGGGAGGCCAAGGCAGGCGAATTGCTTGAGCCTGGGAATTAGAGACCAGCCTGGGCAATATGGCAAAACCCTGTCTCTTGACAAAAAATACAAAATTGGCTGGGTGTGGTTGCACACACCTGTAGTCCCAGCTGCTCAGAAGGCCAAGGTGGAAAGATCACCTGAGCCTGGGGAGACTGATGCTGCAGTGAGTGATGATTGTGCTACTGCACTCAAGCTTGTGTACAGAGTCAGACTGTCCAAGGGGGGAAAAAAAGATTTTTAATAAATGTAAAATTCTCTGGGTACTTTTCTTGAGTTTTTAAAATTTATTATCCTTAAGAGGTGATTATGAAAGATTCTTTATATGGAAATAAACGAGCTTTAAATTCTTAATTTTTTTTTCTAAAATGAAATAGCTATATTAAGAAATTTTATGCACACAGAAAATTTTAATTTTTAAAAACAGTTGGTGGTTTTTACTGCATGTTTTTATTTTTTATTTCAGGTGTCGCACCTCCTTCTTTTGTAGCCATTAAGGCAGGAACAACACTGTACCAACTTACGACAGCAGGGGAAGCTGTTTCCTGGAACTCAATATTTATTCTGATGATCTTGGCTGTTCTTTCTATTCTGCCAGCCATCTTCCAAAAAAAACTAAAGCAGAAATTTGAGTAAAAAAAATCATCTGATTTTTAGTTTTGCTGTCATCACCATCTCAGGATTAACAGGTGCATCCATTTATGTTTTAAAATCACCTCTTCAGTACTTAAAACAAGGAATTTGTAAAATAAAATTTCCTAGCAGAGTTAAAATAATACATTTAAGTGACAAGGGGAGAAGAAAGTAAAAATGGAAATTGGTATACTGGGAAAAGTGCTATCAATAGTTAACATAGACATCTTAGACATCTTGTAAAATATTATACCAATGGTAGCTATAGATAATAGTAGTGTGGTAGGAAATTGTTGATCCAGCTAATTCATCCAATTTAATATTTTTCTCTTATTGCTAATAACTAAAATAGATATTTTTAAATTCTAGATCTACCCACCTCGATCTCCCATAGTGCTGGGATTACAGGCATGAGCCACCGCACCCAGCCTGGTATTGATAATTTATACTCAGATAATTCATTACAGTTCTTTAGTATCTCAAAAGGGGCTCTCTAAAAAGCAAACACTCAAGAGTATGTAGTTTTTAGACGTTAAGTTATTTTATATTTTAAACAGTGGCAGCAAAACAAGTAGTTAAATATAGTTTATTTGTTCCAATGACTGTAAATTTTACCTCCTTTATTAATCTGTTCATTAAGGAATATATTTAATATTATGTAATTATTCTTTTTATGCATGATACACCTAGAAAAATGCCTTTTGTTTCTATTGATGGCTTTTTTCTTTGGAGCTGTTTTTGATTACTTATTGCAGTTTTCCAATTTTGTCTTTTTACTTTTTCTAACTCACAAAGTAAAATTAACTTCTCACATGGCAACTACTATATTTAAATAGTTCTGGAAGGCCGGGCATGGTGGCTCACGCCTGTAATCCCAGCACTTTGGGGGGCCAAGGCGGGTGGATCACAAGGTCAAGAGATCGAGACCAACGTGGCCAACCTGGTGAAACCCCGTCTCTACTAAAAAGACAAAAATTAGCTGGGCATGGTGGCACGCGCCTGTGGTCCCAGCTACTCGGGTGACTGAGGCTGAAGAATCACTTTTTTTTTTTGAGATGGAGTTTCACTCATGTTACCCAGGCTGGAGTGCAATGGCGTGATCTCAGCTCACCGCAACCTCCGCCTCCTGGGTTCAGGCAATTCTCCTGCCTCAGCCTCCTGAGTAGCTGGGACTACGGGCATGCGCCACCATGCCCAGCTGATTTTTTGTAGTTTTAGTAGAGACGGGGTTTCACCGTGTTGACCAGGATGGTCTCGATCTCTTGACCTTGTGATCCACCCGCCTCAGCCTCCCAAAGTGCTGGGATTACAGGCTTGAGCCACCGCGCCCGGCCTCTGAAGAATCTCTTGAACCCAGGAGGCAAAGGTTGCAGTGAGCCGAGATTGCACCACTGTACTCCAGCCTGGCGACAGAGCAAGACTCCGTCTCAAAAAAAAAAAAAAAAAAAAAAAAGTTCTGGAAAAATGAAAGTGCTTTTTGCTGCTTGGTTAATGGGTAATGCCCTTGATTCCTTGATTCTTGAACATAGCTAATCTAAAGTACTCTGTCAGTTTTACCTTCACCCACAACTGTCATTATGTTGAAAAGTACTTTAGCTGTGTGAAATCCTTGTATGTTTTTATTGTGAGAGGTATAATCATCCTCAAAGCCTGTTTTTACTACATAATGTGGACTGATTCATTATTTTTTCTATCGCAGTATTAACAGATGGATTTTATTGTAAATACAAAGAAAATATATAGATTATTATAGTATTCTTATGTCGCCTGGCCTTTTGTGTGAGATTATTTATTATTTCTAGCAAGGCCTTCATTCTTTCTTATTGCCCAGAGACTGAGTGATGAATCTTTTGTTATTTTTACAAATAAATTAAAACATAGCCTTTTTGGACAAATTCACTAAATATTACTGTATAAAATGTAATTGGGTAAATTTTTCTCAGAATTTTAAAAATAAAAGAACTTAGACTCAGTAGAAGTGTCACTATTTACTCCAGCGTGTGTAAATTGTATTTACTCTATTCTCAGAGTATATTTCCTGTCCTTACCATTGATTCTTTCCCTTTGCTAATTTTTTTTTGGTAGAAAATTGTAGCTGTAACTTTAGGTGGGGTATATTTTCTTCTAAGAGAATAGATAGTTTTTCTGGATTTATCATTATTGACTGTCAAGAAAGGACCCTTCAACAGGCTGTACTCTCAGTGCATTTGATGGCCTGTCTGTATGGATTCACAGACTTGGCCTGATGCTACATGTAAATTCCAGCTTTGGCTTGACAATTATATGGTAACAGCCACATGAAAGCAAACATCTGTGGTGCATAGACAAGCAGGCTAAGTAGAAGTTGAAATGCTGAGAAAGTCAAACTGTTCTTTCTTAGTTAATGGTCTTTCTCTGGAGCTCTGTTATTTTGAGTATAATATTTCCATGACTCTTAGTAAATACAAGCTAAAATGTAATAATAAATAAAAAATTGTATTGGAGAAACCTAAATGTCACATTTGGGATTTATTTTCATGGAAGTACTTGGATTAAAAAACCCTGGCCGGGCACAGTGGTTTACACCTGAAATCCCAGCACTTTGGGAAGCCAAAGTGGGTGGATCACCTGAGGTCACAAGTTCAAGACCAGCCTGGACAACATAGCGAAACCCCGTCTCTACTAAAAATATGAAAAATTAGCCAGGTGTGGTGGTGCACACCTGTAGTCCTAGCTACTTAGGAGGCTGGGGCACGAGAATCACTTTAATGCAGGAGCTGAATGTTGCGGTGAGACAAAGTTGTGCCACTGCACCCCAGCCTGGGTGACAGAGCAAGACTCTGTCTCCAAGCAACAACAACAACAACAACAACAACAAACTCTTCATTGAATAAAATAATATTTTTAAATTCTGATGTACATTTTCACCACTAAGAACAATGAAATGGCCAGCCATGGTGACTCATGCCTGTAATTCTAGCACTTCGGGAGGTCAAGGTGGGTGGATCACCTGAAGTCAGGCATTTGAGACCAGCCTGGCCAATATGGCGAACCCTGTCTCTACAAAAAATACATAAATTAACTGAGTGTGATAGTGTACGCCTCTAATCCCAGTTACTTGGGAGGCTGAGGCAGGAGAATTGCTTGAACCCAGGAAGCGGAGGTTGCAGTGAGCTGAGATTGCACCAGTGCACAACAGCTTTCGTGACAGAGCAAGACTCTGCCCCCCCAAAAAAAATGAAATTTTAAAAACTTAATGGTTGGCTTTTGAGAATTCTAAAACAATTGTTTAAATTGTTAAGATAAGGCCATGCACAGTGGCTCACACCTGTAATCCCAGCACTTTGGGAGGCCGAGTTGGGCAGATTACCTGAAGTCAGGAGTTCGAGACCAACCTGGTCAACATGGTGAAACCCTGTCTTGGGATTTTCCCAAGACATCAGACATTCCCCTCTCCCTTAAAACAAAACAAAAGGCCAGGCACAGTGGCTCATGCCTGTAATCCCAGCACTTTGGGAGGCCGAGTTGGGCAGATTACCTGAAGTCAGGAGTTCGAGACCAACCTGGTCAACATGGTGAAACCCTGTCTTGGGATTTTCCCAGTACATCAGACATTCCCCTTTCCCTTAAAACAAAAGGCCAGGCGCAGTGGCTCGTGCCTGTAATCCCAGCATTTTGGGAGGCCGAGATGGGCGGATCACCTGAGGTTGGGAGTTCAAGACCAGTCTGGCCAACATGGAGAAACCCTGTCTCTTTTGTTGTTGTTTGTCTGTGGGCTCACCAAGTGAAGAGAAACCCTGTCTCTAAAAAAAAAAAAGGAAAGAAACCTTGTCTCTGAAAAAAAAAAGAAAAAGAGAGAGAGAAACCCTGTCTCTACTAAAAATACAAATAATTGGTGAACATGGTGGTGAACACCTGTAATCCCAGCCATTCCAGGGCTTGAGGTAGGAGAATCACTTGAACCTGTGAGGTGGAGGTTGCGGTGAGCTGAGATAGTACCACTGCACTCCAACAAGACCCTGTCTCTAAATAAATGGTTGAGGTAAGTAAACATTTCTAGTACATACAGTGATTTCTTTATAAAGGGATCTTTTTAAAGTTCTCTGGCTTTTTTTTTTTGGACGGAGTTTTGCTCTTGTTACCCAGGCTGGAGTGCAATGGCGCGATCTCGGCTCACCGCAACCTCCGCCTCCTGGGTTCAGGCGATTCTCCTGCCTCAGCCTCCCGAGTAGCTGGGACTACAGGCACGCGCCACCATGCCCAGCTAATTTTTTTGTATTTTTAGTAGAGACGGGGTTTCACCATGTTGACCAGGATGGTCTCGATCTCTTGACCTTGTGATCCACCCGCCTCGGCCTCCCAAAGTGCTGGGATTACAGGCTTGAGCCACCGCGCCCGGCCAGTTCTCTGGCTTTTTGAAAATAAGTATAATTGGCTGGGCACGGTGGCTCAGGCCTGTAATCCCACACTTTGGGAGGCTGAGGTGGGCGGATCACAAGGTCAGGAGATGGAGACCATTCTGATGAACACGGTGAAACTCCATCTCTACTAAAAATACCAAAAAATTAGTTGGGCGTGGTGGCACACACTGGTAGTCCCTGTTAGGAGGCTGAGGCAAGAGAATTTCTTGAACTCTTGAAGTGGAGGTTGCAGTGAGCCAAGGTCACGCCACTGCACTCCAGCCTGGGAGACAGAGTGATACTCCATCTCAAAAAATAAATAAATAAACAAACTACCCTCAAATTAGCATTAGAACATTATACTATGAAAGCAGGGTGAGGGAATACATTGTTCCTTTATTTTGTATATTTTACATGGGAAACTAGCCATATTTTAATACTGTCTCAACTTTCTAGGTTAAATCTGTGAAAACCCATCATGAGTCATTGAAAGATGGTGTTTTTATGGCCGGGTGCGGTGGCTCACGCCTATAATCCTAGCACTTTGGGAGGCCGAGGCGGGTGGATCACGAGGTCAAGAGATCGAGACCATCCTGGTCAACAAGGTGAAACCTCGTCTCTACTAAAAAAAATACAAAAATTAGCTGGGCATGATGGTGCGTGCCTGTAGTCCCAGCTACTCTGGAGGCTGAGGCAGGAGAATTGCTTGAACCCAGGAGGCGGAGGTTGCGGTGAGCCAAGATCGTGCCATTGCACTCCAGTCTGGGCAACAACAGCGAAACTCCGTCTCAAAAAAAAAAAAGAAAGATGGTGTTTTTGCCCATCATTAACTGACACTACTAAAAGCATATTCTTTCGTGGCAACCTACTAAAGATAACCAGTTTTTCATCCTGCTCATCATTTAAATTAGATTCATGAGGATGATTCAAGTGCCCCTCAGGTTTTTGTTGGAGTCTGTTTCTACACTGGAATTGCTACTTGTAGACTCTGAATCCTTGGCAGATATTAATGTGTTGATTCAAAACTTCTGCCTTTCACCTCTGAGACAGGATTGCCTAGTGACTAAATCACTAGGGTGGACTTTTTTTTGGACACAGAGTCTGGCTCTGTTATCCAGGATGGAGTGCAGTGGCAGAATCTCAGCTCCCTGCAACCTCCACTTCCCAAGAATCAGAACATTGCCAGCACTTTTATCTACCTATGTTCTCCCCAATCTGATTCCCCCAACCTTATTCCTTTATTTTTGTTTTTTTTTGAAACAGAGTTTCACTGTGATAACCAGGCTTGAGTGTAATGACGCAATCTCAGCCCACTGCAACCTCTACTTCCTGGGACTACAGGCACCTGCCACCACATGAGGCTAAATTTTTTATTTTTAGTAGTGGGGTTGGGGGGGGTTTGCCATGTTGGCAAAGCTGGTCTTGAACTCATGACCTCAGGTGATCTGCCTGCCTCGGCCTCCCAAAGTGCTGGGATTACAGACATGAGCCACCTCCCCAGCTAGAGTGGACTATTTAATTGGGTGTTAGAACACCAGCCAAGGGACCAGGCTTTGTGGCTCATGCCTGTAATCCCAGCACTCTGGGAGACCGAGGCGGGTGGATCACCTGAGGTCAGGAGTTCAAGACCATCCTAACATGGCAAAACCCTGTATCTACTAAAGATACAAAAATTAAGGCCGGGTGTGGTGGCTCACGCCTGTAATCCTAGCACTTTGGGAGTCCGAGGTGGCTGGATCACCTGAGGTCAGGAGTTCAAGACCAGCCTGGCCATCAGGGTGAAACCCCATCATTAAAAAAAAAAAAAAGATACAAAAATTAGCTGGGTAGGTATGGTAGCACACACCTGTAGTCTTAGCTACTAGGGAGTCTGAAACAGCAAAATCGCTTGAATCTGGGAGGCAGTGAGCCAAGATTGTGCCACTTGACTCCAACCTGGGTGACAGAGCTAGACTCAG